CAGTGTTAGGGGTTGCTAAATCAGTTATGATCAGACATGCTCAGATTACCATTGAAGGGTGTTAGATCAATGGTATGATATGCCTATATTACCACTGGAGGGTTGTTAGATCAATGAAATGACATACGTAGATCAGTGTTATGAGTTTGCTAATCAGTTACGATCAGAGATGCTTAGATTACCATTGGAGGGTGTTAGATCAATGGTATGACATGCCTATATTACCAGTAGAGGGTATTAGATCAATGAAATGACACGCGTAGATTGATTTAGCAACCCCTAACACTGATCTACGTATGCCATGTCATTGATCTAACAACCCTCCAATGGTAATCTAGGCATGTCATATCATTGATCTAACACCCTCCAATGGTAATCTAGGCATGTCTTATTATTGATCTAACACCCTCCAAAGGTAATCTACGCATGTCGTATTAGTGATCTAACACCCTCCAATGGTAATCTAGGCACGTCTGATCATACCAGATTTAGCAACCCCAAACACTGATCTATGCATGTCATTTCATTGATCTAACACCCTGCAATGGTAATCTAGGCATGTCTTATTATTGATCTAACACCCTCTAATGGTAATCTAGGCATGTCTTATTATTGATCTAACACCCTCCAATGGTAATCTAGGCATGTCGCATTAGTGATCTGACACGTGCACTCTCCGATGGTAATCTAGGCATGTCTGATCATAATTAATTTAGCAACCCCTAACACTGATCTACCCGTATGTTATTTTCATTGATCTAATGAAACTGCCCCTACTTTTGTTTTACTTGTCTAACGCCAGACAATGTCACTTTTCAATGGGGAAACATGCATGTTACAGTAAGTTCATGACAAAGTTCATTCTTTTGGCCTGGAGATTGTCAACTAGGCATGTAATAACAATATACGAAGTAGACTCTCGCTTAATAAGTAGGTGCATAGAAAATAGTGCCTTGAATGCACAGTAGCTGCACTATTGATCAAGTATCTTGGTTTTCATCCAAGCAAGGCCTGATACTAGTTTATATTAGTATATTTTTGTATGTCATCTAGTGTTTTTAATAGTAAATAGTCAACATTAACATCACTATGATATCTATATTTACCTTTATAACTTGAGTCGTTGTTAAGCCAGTTTCTGCTATAGCGCTTTCGATCATTTCGCGATAATTTAGAACAACACCGACCATTCAACGGCCGTAAAACCTTTCCCAAATATCTCTCTGGTTGTCGCTTATTCTTAGTTCTCTTTCCTATCTCCATTTCATTGCACAGAATCGCAAATAGACTATAAAATCTGCTAGTAATGTTTTCAAAATATGGCAGCTCAAAGCTCGAGAAGAACGTGTGATAGAAACACGATTGTGATTGGTTTATATATAATGATATGCGAAAGCGTCAGCTTCAGGTGGCGCAGGCGATAGTCTGGCACGGGTAATACCGAATATTCTCAATTGAGAACATATGGGTAATACCCAGCCTAGTCCCAGGCTCTCTCTCTCTTTCTCTTTATTCGCTGCTTTGATATATTTAAATAAGTCTTAAAAGTTTTATGCCTGGGTGTGCTGTGCGGAACGCTTCAGCGAGAGAGCCTAGCAGATTTCGGTAAAATGGTCCCTGATTTCAAAAAAGTGGTCCCTGGCCTGGTTACCAAGCATATCTCATTTGTAAATGAAAAATGTTATGGAAATTTCCTTTGCATTTATAGTTAGGTCATTAGTTTTGCTCTAATGCTGTCGGAACAATGAAGTAGGCTACGTTTCGCTGCCATACGGTCAGAATGGAATAATGGGCTAAATATTACTCGTGTTTACTAAAATATATAGCCATATTAAATGCTATCTAGAAGCTTGAAAATTATGACGCGTCTCCGACTAAGAATGTTTTGACAACACCGTCATGTCAGGCAAATATTTCCAATCTCCTCAGCAATTTAAACCTGTCAAGTAGAAAGCGTAGTTGTGTATACCAGTATGGTCTAGTGTTGATCACAACTTGAGAGTACATAAATAACATCAACGATTGCTCAAACTCGGTGTCGTAAATTTGTATATAAATTTTTTTAGTTGAGCACATTTTTATTACAGTTTGATTTGATTATGTAGACATCGAACATGTACATGATGAACAAACATCGTCGTATTTATAATTAAAAGGTTACTTGATATATAAATTTTCCGCCATATTAAAAATACTGAAATCTGCTAGGCGTTCTGAAGCACCTTGAGCGGTGACGTCACACCTAGGTCCCAGTCTCGTACTACATCCACTTCTTTCTCGCGCTTGCTTCAGAACGACTGGGACTAGGCTGGGTAATACCCGTTGAGGTGTATGCTAAACGGGTGTTACATTAGGTGTATTTAGTGCAAATAATTGCACCATGTCCAAAATCTAAACACTAAATTGACTTAAAAAGTTATTTTATTTCTGCCTAATTAAGTATAAAATGAACACATAAGTTATTTTAGTTTAGTGCCAAACTGATGTCCACCACTTGTAATTACCCTAGAACTATTTCCGATCAATCTAAGATATATTCCGACATTTGCCCTGGGTATGCTAGTTTACAAAAATCATAGTTTGATTAAGTTTGAGGTGGTAGGTCGAAGGTCGTTTTTCAACATTTTTAAAATCAACCAGAATTACAGTATTCAACAACATGTATTTACTGAATAGCCCAGTATTGCTATCTGTTCATTGAATATAAAGTGAAATCTTATACTGTAAGCTGCATAAACATAGCTCTAAGTCCATTTTATATTTCTATGGTGATTATAGATTGTTTGAACATGTTCTGTCTCTAAAATCCATTGGTTTTCGTGTAGGTTAAATTTGGCCAATATGGAGTTCATGGGTCTGAACATTTACCTTAAGTTTAATGGTTAAAATTAATCGAGAACTGTTTCCGATCAATCTAAGATGTATTTCGGCATTTACCCTAGGTATGCTAGTTTACAAAAATCATAATTTGATTAAGTTTGAGGTGGTAGGTCGAAGGTCGTTTTTCGACATTTTTAAAATCAACCAGAATTACAGTATTCACAACATGTATTTACTGAATAAACCCGGTATTGCCATCTGTTCATTGAGTATAAAGTGAAATCTTATTCTGTAAGCTGTGTAAACATAGCTCTCAGTCCATTTTATATTTCCATGGTGATTACCTGATTGTTTGAACATGTTTTGGTTCTAATATCCATAGATTTTCATGTAAGCTAAATTTGGCCAATATGGCGTTCATGGGTCTGAACCACTGAGCTGTATAATAACTGGAGGACCTGCTCCTATACTTCGTTCAGTCAACCAAGTGAAGCCAAAAACATGACGGATTTTGAGTGAAAATGACGCCATTTCCATGACTACTGGTCCCTAAATTCATGGTAATTGCCACTGAACAAGGCTCAAATATGAGCCCGCCAAAGTTTTCACCCCCCTGGTTTTTATAAAAATATTTCGGCTTTTTGAAAGTGAGTCCTTGTTGTTTTGATATTTTCGACATATTTTTTCGACTGTTGACAATTTGTTCAAGGATGTGAAAGTCGTACAAGTTATTCTCGTCCGTGAAAGACAACAAACAACTATTAAAACCTCCCAAAATGTGGATAAAAACGATATTTCAAGCCGGGTAAACAGCAGTCTGTATACTGTCTGAAACATGCAGTCAACTATAAACAGGTAAACATTTTAAAATTCACATTTTTATTTTAGTATTTCATGAAAAAATGTTAGGAATAAATGGTAAAATGTACTCTATTTTTTAGAAAATAAGCCACAAGTGTTTATAATGTGGTTGTAGTCTTGTACATAAACCTTTTTGTATTTACTGTATTAACTTTATGCAATAATTTCATCCCTCGCAATATCGAGTTGCACAGTACATGTATATGAATTAAGAGATGAAACTATGATGTGCTGGTGTATTAAAGAGGAAATTAAGGTTTTATATATTTAGCCAAGGGTTTTGTTATGCATGAACTTGTGGTGGACTGGTGCAGGACAAAGCTCAGCTGCCTAGTAGGGGCAGCTGATCTGAGTGAAGTGAGAAGGCATGTTTTATATCCAGGATTGTACATTGTAGTATTAATAATATGTGCTCTCTGATAGTTTGTTGTATGTATCTTTAAAAGGCCATTAGCTTGTTTGCCCCAGTCAGCCCATCCCTCAAATATTAAGTTAATTGTCTCTAGTTCTGCCATATTGCAGTAAGCGAGACTTCACTGTGTGGTTATTTTAATATTTTTATAGTGGAAATTCCTTTCAGTTTGCATGGATAACCTGACTGGCTCAGTTTGAGATCTCACTTGAACAAGACAAGAACTCTAAATGGTTAGACAAGATAACACTAACCTGACTGGTCACTTGGTCAAAAATGAAGTCAAAACAACAAAATTGGTCATGAAAATATTGGCAAAACAATAGAGATGCAGAATTTTCCAACAATGCAATTGAGTCCATGCCATGCAAGGTTGTTTAACTGTTAATAAAACTCAGTACCAAGCAACATGTTTGTAAATTAAAGATTCAAAATCTTGATTAATTAATTAATTTTGTATTATTTTTATAATTAAACTGGTCAAAGAATAATTATCAAATTAATAATTATAACTGTACAATCAAGTTACATGTGATTATATTATTAGTTATTATAACTGTAGCTCCATGGGCTATTCTTTCATTTCTTTGGCTGTTCCCTGTTTTGATGCCTTGGGCCATTTCTTGTAGTACATATAACACATGCCCAAAACATTTTGGAGAAAAGTCATTGTTAGTTTTCCAGTTACGGTAGGTCTGGCAAGTGCCACCACTACACCACTATTCTTGTTATTTGAACATTCCAAAGAACTTGTTATAGTGTCCAGCGGTGGACACGTAACTTTGAGATGGCGGGAAAAGCTTGCATGTGGACTTGGTGAATAGATTATGCATGGCAGACTTTGTAGTTACAAGTATACGTTTAGAGAAATAAAAGAATATAATATTGGCGACGAGACATTGAACCTATGGCAGCTTTGCAACTTCCCACTCTAGCACCCTTCTCTGTGTTATCTGACAGTGCTACGCTCAGTCAACGTTGGACAAAATGGGTTAAAAGTTTCGAATATTTTCTGGTCGCTTCGAACGTGACGGACAAGAAACGACAACGGGCATTGTTGTTGCATTTAGCTGGACCAGAAGTACAAGAAGTTTTCGAAACACTAAGTGACACGGGAGATGACTACGCTACTGCTCTCGAAAAGTTGGATGCCTACTTCAAACCGCAAAAGAATATCCCGTTTGAACGCCATATGTTTAGACAAGCCACCCAAGACTCCTCGGAAACGATGAATACGTACGTTACTAGACTCAAACGATTAGTACAAACCTGTGATTATGGTACCTTGTCCAACGAAATGATTCGCGATCAGGTCCTGGAGAAATGTTATTCAACGCGTTTACGCCAAAAATATCCGAATATTCTGAAATTTTCTTAGTCATTCGGAAATTTTTGGCGTAAAATGTGCAGTGATAAAAAATTCTTAAAATTAGGTATGGGGCTGACAACTTTTTCAACTCCCCAAGGTTTAAATCGGTATAAACGATTAATTTTCGGTTTGTCGTCAGCATCTGAAATGTACCAGTTTGTCATCCAGCAAGTGCTAATTGGGATCCCAGGGGTCCGCAACATATCCGATGACATTATTGTCTTTGGAACAACCCAGGCTGAACATGACCGCAGTTTGGACCAGACCTGCAACGCCTGCATGCCAACGGGCTCACTCTCAACAAAGACAAGTGTCTCTTTAGTGTTCCTGAGCTAGTTTTCTTTGGCTTTAAAATCTCCGCTG